AAAAAAAAAAAAAGTCAAGAAAAATGGTTAAAATACTAATAGCAACTTTAGCCATTTTATTTTGAAAATGTTTGCACACGTATTTCCTATTTTTCTACAGTGATGATTAATACATTTACGTAATACAATCTTGATAGTTTAGTCTCTCTATACCCTATTAATTCCTGACACAAATACTAATTTTTATGGCCATGACTCATTTCATAAACACTTAACCTGAGACAACATTATAATCCAGATGAGAATGAGCTGTCTCTCATATGTGACACACTGAGCTACTGTGGGAAAAACCTTACGGTTTTTTAAAGTGGTACAAATTGTATAGCTTCTGAGAATATATATCTGAAGGCCATGCAAAATGTCAACTTTAACCAGAAAACTAAAAACTACTTTTAAGAAACCCATCAGTTTTCTGTTACTAAGAAAATAAACAAAACACAATAGTACCATGCAAGGTAAAAATCACTTACCATCTGTATCATAAAACATTCCTAGTAGGACATCATCCTGGACTTTCCATTGCTTTTTCAAAGTATTCAGTATAAAAGCATTTTCTTCTTCATTATGTATGCTTATCATGTCTGCTCCTGAAATTATTTTGGGGAGAAAAAAGCATGTTCCAGACTCAAAGAAAATCACATGAAGTATATAAAAATTATGTATTATTATAAGACACAGTATTTCAGAAGTATAACCAGCATACCTCTTAGAAGCAAGGAAGATGAGACTTTGTCTCATGTACTTTGGACACATTATCAGGAGGGACTAGTCCCTGGAGAAGGACATCATGCTCCATAAAGTAGAGGGTGAAAGAAAAAGAGGTAGACCCTCAATGAGATGGGTTGACACAGTGGCTGCAACAATGGTTTCAAACATACCAATGACTGTCAGGAGGGCACAAGACGAGGCAGTGTTTCTTTCTGTTGTTCATAGAGCCACTATGAATGGGAGCTCTGGTGGCATAGTGCCTAAGCCATTTGACTGCTAACCAGAAGTGCTGGCGATTCAAACCCACCAACCACTTCTTGGAAGGAAGTTTGGGCAATCTACTTCCATAGTGATACTGCCTCAGAAACCCAAAGAGTGGTCACTATGAGTGAAATCTGACTCAAGGGCACGTAACAACAACAATGAGAAAATACGCATTGTATGTTAGAAAATGGAGATTACAGTAGAGAGCAATTCATTTTTATAAAAAAAAAAAACCAATATTTCTTAAAATATATTTACATGAGGAAAAAAGTCTAAAAGGA